GTCCAAGAAGGAGAAAGATGATACGAAGAAGGAGACAGAGGCTCAACGACTGCGCCGTGAGAAGAAGGAGAGGGAAGAAAGGGAGAAGCAGGATGAGAAGGACAAGAAAGAAGCTCTGAGGAAAGCCATTACCAAAGCAAAGCAGGCGAGTGTGCTATATACGGATTGCTCGGCATGACATGATCTAAATAGCATGCGCCTCATGATATATGTTAACGTTCTTATAATTACCTGTTCATGGGCTTCTGGCACAAGCTTGTGTGTGGTCATGGGTGCACTGGTTACTTGGTCTGCTTGGTCGAGGCGCTTGTGAAGCTGAACGGGGCCATGTCGAAAATCTCCAACTTGAAGGGAAAAGCGGAGAACATGTAAAGTCCTCAGATGCACGTTCCGGCTTATCACACCCAAGACTTTCAAGGGAGGACTGTTCTTTAGCTAGCGTGTGCGTGTCACAATGAGGTCTTCGAACCTCCGCGACATCTTCCTGAAGGAAATGTCACCCCATCAAAAAGCTTTGAACAACACTAGATCCGCGCTCCAGAAAACTATCGATGAGGCCAAGGTGCGCGGTTATTTGGTAAAATTCTGATTACGTGATTACCCGTATTACCTTTTCCCACTAGCTAGTATTCTTCAAATGGTTCTATCGCGCATTCCCTTTGAGGTGGGTGATGAGGCAACTCTTCAAGATACGACGAAGAGTGACGCAGTGATTTCTGCCTTCAATACTTTTTTGGAGAACAACAACATGAAGTAGTCGAGCAGCAAAGTCTCATGATAGACCAATTGATCTGAGTGGCGAAGCTCGCTCAGTCCTTGGTGGGGAACCGTAGGTTTTGACAAACTGAACGTTTGTCTTAGGGGGCCTGGCGTTCAAAGCAGGGGCAAACTGAACTTGTGTTAACTTACCAATTGTTTACCTTCTGAGCTTCTGGGTCTTCAACCCCAACAGAAAATAATGTCCTTACACAGCTGCAGTGTTTGCTTGTTGTTTTCAAGTGTGCCCATGCTTCTGCCCACCTGAGGCTTAGAACTTGCCATTTGATAGGACGGTCAATTTGCCAGATCGGGAAAAACCTAAACCTGAAAGTTCTTCCATTCGATCATCCATCGAATCGACGATAAAGATTTATAATACACATGCATGCAAAACAATTCTTCCTAATCAGCTATGCACCTGCACAGGTGATGTGAGTGGAGCACCATTGATGCTACAGCGACAAATAGATGACGTATCCAGTGGGGCCACTTGGCAATGTCATCTCCTTTGATATCATCAGTCGATCCAAGATTAACTTAATTAAGATATATAAACTCAATAATACTATAGATCTATAGCACTAGCGCTGCTAAGCTATGTATGGACAGCCACGTTCTGATTCATCGACCGGATTGCAGCCACAACACTATGAAACTGGCATCGAGGCTTCATCGACACGGAAGGCAATGCAGCAGTTGAGAGCTCACGTCCAAGTGCCTTGGCTGCGGTGCGTGTGTGTTGAAGAGTTTGGGATGTTTGGGCGTGAGGTGTTGGTGCAACCACAAATGGCTAAGGAGTCAAAATCTTCAGCACACCCAGAATCTGCTTGTTTGGGCAAGAAATCGGGGTTCAACGACAGCAGGGATTTCTGGACTCATACAGACATACCTGGAGTAGCAACTTGGCCTTATTGTGAAATATACGCAAGTTCACCAGAAACAAATATTACAAACAATCGGTGCCAATTCAGTGGAAGAATCTAAAGTTAGCTAGCAGCTAGAGCATTTGTAGTTGACACCGGATTGTTTATCATTCTATCTAAGGAAATTCATTGTGTCAGGGTGCCCATCAAAGACAGTAAGGATCCCAAACGCGTCGACTTCGAGATGCAACCACTACTGTTTCCGCATGAGGTGCTTGCGTATGTTTTTAATGAAGCAAAGCTCGAGGTTTCTCTCCAGGAAAGGAACAATTTTGGGATGACGCACGCATGAATGGTGAGCACTGGGCGGTCCACAGTACTGCCAGCAGGGATTCCCATCCAGTGGGATTGTATGGAGACGCTGCCCGCTTGAAAACTATCTATACTACCGAGCGTGTAGTTGGAGTCTTTCTAAACCTGGTGCTTTTCAGACCTGCCTCTGTGAGATGCAGTAGGTTTCTACTGTGGTCTGCAGACGACACAAAGCTCTTCAGCAATCGAACAATCAACGCAATTATGAGGTACATTGTGTGGTCCATGAGTTGGGCTTATCGAGGAAAGCACCCAGATCGCGCTCTTGATGGCACACCGATACGAACTAGTCTTGCAGGCCAGTACCTCACGCCTAACTGTGATTGTTTCACAGTGGTGGAACTGCGTGGGGACTGGGAATGGCATCGTAAGCTGTTCCATTTCAGAGCTTCGTGGAAGGCAACTACGAAGTCAGTTTGTTTTAGGTGCACCGCTGTTGGGGCTGGTCCACCGGGCATGAGATACTATGATGTTCACAGGTCTGATTCACAATGGCTGAATGAAGGATATGGAGTTGCGACGTTCATTTCTCGCCAGTTGAAAGACAAACACCTTTGTAGCTAAGCTGCAAAAACTAGGTGGACCAATTCAGAACTAATGCATTGTAATATGGTCTTTGCATCTAACATGGGGTGCCATGAGTTGATTCCAACCAAGGCCCACTCATTTTGCTGGACAATTTCCACCCAGATATGATAAAGATATGTTCTACGCACACCCTCCAGCTTGGCGTTCTCTTCTCTTTGAATGGAGGGGCTTTGAAACTCAACTGGAACTATAAACACACTTTGCTGCTTTCATGCCCACTATTTGCTCCACAGATCTATGGCCTGAGGGCATGTATATGTAGTTTGGCTTTGTTTCCTCCCTCTCTAATCCCTGGGCCCCTCTCATTGGACAAGTTGCTGGATGCCACACTTCGTGAAGTTGCTCCAGTGCACGCTAGCTGGTGCCTTCAAATTCTGGGCCTTATAAATATAGATCTAGATCGGTGCATGGTTCTTTATTTAGTTCCGGTGATCTCTAGGCCCAGAATTTCAAGGCACCAGCTGTTCCTGCCAGCAAAGGCATATGTTGTGCCAAGAATTGCAGCATTTTGGCAACTACAATGGTGATCTTCAATCCCAATTGGATTCAGCCTATGGATCGTTCTTGGGTTTCTGTCGCCGCATGAAGCTACACCACAGCCAACCTCCTTTTACTACTCGTATGGAACCTTGGCAAATCTAAGACGATCCAACTCTATTTATATTTCTAGCTGATGAAATCTTGGTCCATGCCCGGTGATCCAACTTACCCAGGGATTTACCGTTGACGATAAGTAAGGTGGAAAAAAAGTCTGGCGACATCCTGCTCACCCACAAAGCGTTCAATGGGAGGATCATCATGGAATGGCTGGCCTACGAGCTTCATACTGCACTTGCATCAGGCCTACATCCAAATCATAGAAGACTGGAGTTTTGTTCAGTGGGCATGAACCTTGTTATATTTATATGAGCATTGTTTGCCATAGCACTGCTCCCTCGGGTCGACTCCTGTCCTTGAGTGCAGTTATGCATGGCTGAGGACAGCCATGGCCCGCGTTCAGTATTTGACTGAACGAAATGGACGCAGACTGCCTCTTGACAATTACTGGTTAATTGACAGTGCTACTAGATGTTGATAGCCAAATCTATGTTATTCGCATATTGGACCTAGGACTCGTGTTGATGCTAGTGAGATCTGGAAACAAGGGATGCTTTTCCTGGACTGCTACAAGACCCTGCAATTCCTTTCAGTGAGGCTCTTTTAATGTTTGAAGTTGTGTGTTGATTGGTTGTGCGTGTGTTGATTGGCCGCTGTGCAGCCTGGTTTGACAAACAATATGCCTGCAGGGAAGGCCGCAAAACTTTTCTAATGCGTCCTAAATACCATGATTCTCGCTTGCAAGAGTTCACTTGCAAGAGTTCCACCTTGCACTGCAAAAACGTTTCATGTGGATGACCGATTTTTTGAGCTACTGTAGCTAAGATGTTTGCGCATCTTCTATACGATGCAGAGAAGACACGTATCTTGGCCCAGGTGTTTACTAGTACATTGCGTAGCTAAGTATTTGTTGACGATCGATCAATACTCGCTACCACGTCGTTCGAGCTTCCTCAAAGCCGCTTCCACCACCATCCCTATAGAAGACCAATAGGCCACTAGTTGGCAAGGCTTTCTAGATTTTTTGTTTGCAACTTCTTCGAGGAACCATGTTTGTGAAGAAATTTCTGGTGAAGTCAATTAATATATGCGCGCGCGACCGACCTGAGGTGCCAATTGGCGTTTCTTTCACTGTTATACTGATGAAGACGCCATGCGGTGGTTGAAGTGCAACTTGGATCAAAATTCTTGATCAAGAAACAGGTGGGATGTTTGGGGTTCTGCTTTGTTAACGATTGTTAAGACTTTTTCCAGAGCTAAGGCATAGCGTCAGGAACACACAAAGGCAACAGGAGTCGTTGGATTTTACGATGTGGTCGTCTTCGCATGCGAAGCATGCAGTACAGGATCAGGAAGTTTCTGGGTTGCATGTGAGTTGCTATAATTTATGTGATATGAAACTTGTGGGATGTTGAGATCGAGATATGCATCAATCTAAGGCTGATTATCTCCTCCAAACGGAGGGCAAGGTAGGGCCTGCTGCCAGTTCAACTGGCCAAAGGACCAAAGAACACTGTAGCTGAGCAGTGTGGAAAAGAAGTGATTCCAGGGGACATTGGAAGTCCTGAAACGCTTCAAGCGTGAAATGTCTGTTATGACAAGCGACATTTTCATTATGTCTGTTAGACTTATAGGGTATATATATATAGACCTCCAACCCCTGTGAGAACGGCGGCGAAAGCGGGGGACCCGAAGTTTAGACTTTCACCACGCTCTGTGGCCACGCTCCACACGGAGAGTCCCCCCCGGGGACCACCCATGACGACCCGTCCGAAGGCCGTCCGCCACCCGACGACGCCCATCGGTGTCGCCATCCGCCAGGACCATACGATGCCACCGGCCTTGGGCGCCACCCTCTTGGCGTCTCGGGAGACGAACTCGTCGAGGGAGGGCGGTTTCTCCAGACGAAAAAGGGGGGGTCGACCCGGGGTCGGCCATCTTCGGTGTGTTTTTCACGTACGGATTTTTTTGGTGTTCGAAATTTCTACCATGTATAGTACCGTATTAATGCAAATAATATGCAATTATAGATGCAGAACATTGCCCCCCACCTGGCCCCTCCTGGCTTTCAACCTGGAGCACCGAACTGCAGTGTGCAGGTTCATCACCTCAAACGGTCGGGTTGGTAGAACCTGTCGGCCAGGAAGGTCCTGGCATTCTGGCTGGATGAGTTGAGTGTCTCACGCTCCGTTGGTCTTGGGTAGAGGAAACACGTGCTGCGCACGGAGGATGAGTCGACTTGGCGGGCCCAAAAGCTAGATCTTGCTAGCCATGAACATGAAACGAACCTCAGAATCACGGACATCTAGCATTTCATCTTGGAATTTGAGCATGTAGGATGCTGGATGATAGGACCACCTGCCGAAACCACTGGTCACGAAACAGCCTTGAACAGGTGAAAACAGGTCATGTAACCTCTACCTGGGCCCCTACTAAGAGGTGGTCAATGGACACTCCTTAAGGTTCCGGCCCGTGGTATTTTCGGACACCGAGGGGGTCAGTGTTCGATCTGGGAATCACAGGTACGGTAGGGGCTGTCAGTGCACCTCTTCTTCCGGGACTCTTCGAAGCTCCAGCATTTCCCACCATCCATTTAATGGCTTAATGGATCTTAATGGTTCGTTTTATCGAACTCAGGATCTTACACTCGAAAACCAGGCACAACCATTTGTTCAATGGTATAGTTGTTCAATGAGTAGGGGCAAAGAAGAACGAGGTACCTTTGGCGTTCCTGCGGAGCCTGCGGAACTCGTTCGTTCGGGTCACTCGACCGGCCAAGACCTCGGCCAGCACGCCTTGCATCCCACGAAGTAAGATGCCCATGGCACCCATGGCAACTTGATCGCGATCCATCTGAAGGAGCGTTTTTTTTTCGCATGTGTTCTGCTCCTGCGGAAGTGTTGTGTACCGCTGCGCGTACTAACCATCCGGGTGCCCTGGAGTAGGAGACCTGTGTATGTAGGGTAGGGTAGTCTAGCCACCCATTGGATGACCCTGGAACGTTTTTGTGCCTTCTTCGGTGAAACATCCGGTGCCTTCGGATGGTGGCTGGTGATGTACCCTGTTCATCACAGAAGTGCCGAAGAGCTGCTTCCTAAAGATTTTTGGGGGGCCACTTGAGGGAGGGGAGCCGGAACCAAACCCTTCCCATTGGAGAAGCACCCGGATTCTTAGCCTCTTGGGCTCCAGTCGTACTTCGTTGAGGAAGGTATGACTGGAGCCTCCGAACACACCCACCCCAGTACCTCAGTCCTGAAGCGAAACGACTAGAGCCTCAAGATGCCTCTTGCGGTAGGGTTGGAGCTTTGGGAACCTTCTAGAGGCTTCCCCCACCATTGATTTGATCACTAGCAGCTTCTAGCTACTAGTAGCGATGCCAGGAGCCCCCAGTAGCGTTCTTGTTACATTGATTTGTATATTGTTATTTTGACTTATTGGATTTTAGACCTTTTTACACTACAAACCCGCGGGGGTCAGCCATTTCCGACTAACTCGACCTGGCCACCTCACCTCCAGGGTGGTGAAGAGTGTGGACTCCAACCAAACAGCAAAAGGAACCTCATGGCGATGGCCTCCGCCCTAGAAGCGATGGCCTCCGCCCTAGAAGCGATGGCCTCCAGCCTAGAAGCAATGGCCTCCACCCCAGAACAACCCCAAGTGGTCTTGATAGAAGGACTTATAGGGTCTAGGGTCTGGTCAAAAAGGTCCAAATATCCCAGCATTTCCCAGACCCTAGAAGCCCCAAAGATGATCTTTCGCCATAGACCAAGCACCGGTCACCGGACCAGAACAAAAAACCGAACCGAACCGCTTCGACTGGACGTCCATTTTGCGCCTTACGAGCTGTGCTGGCAACATGAAACCTCCGTTTGGTACGGCCGAGCTGCGCTGCTGGTGCTGCTGATTCTCGCGCTTGGCAAAAAACACCCTCGAACACTGAAGAAAAACACCTCGCGAAGACTCAATGACCTGGTCTTAAGCAGATGGAGATAGATCCTGCGGTGCATCCCCGAACTGGGGAAGAAGGATGCTGAACCTCCAGCAGTCACCTTCCGCGGGGTGCTCTCCCTGAGTCGTCGTCGGGGTGCCGCTGTCACATAATCCACTCACGTAAGGGGACGAGCCACACCACCCCGACGTGGGACACCTGGCTGTTCTTTGTTTCCATTGGCTTTTGGTTTTCTACCGGTTCGGGATGTCTACCACCCGCGGCGGCCCCCGCTTCCGCGGCGGCGCCCGCTTCGGAAGCGGTCCGCGGTCTGAGGCTGAACCAGTGGCCGTCCCGCCCATGCGACAGCCCTTCATGCCTGCCTGGGGTGCCCAGGATGGGGCTGTTGAGCTTGAGAGAGGGTGGAGTTGGCAACGCAAAAAAACTGCAGGGAGTTGACAAGACTGTAATGATCAATTAATTCAAAAGTCATCAGGTGACCCCCAAAAGGAATTCCTTGACTTGGGTGTTGCTAAGTATCTTTGGACTTCAGGCATCTTGGTGCTCATTTACGATTCGCAGAGATCTTCTCAGCAGTGTTTTTGCTCGACCCCAAGCTTGGACCGATTCTGCTGTGACCATCACTGTTTAAGAGATGGATGGATGGATGGATGGATGGATGGATGGAAAGGCCTGCAGCTAGGCCCCCATCATCCATTGAGCCCAGACAAAAGACCGTCATACCGCCATATAGCGTGAAGCTTGCCATATGTCCCACGAAGCCCGTGAGGGGAAGGAGCATGGAGGGATCGGTCGGTCGGTCGGACTACACCAGGTCGCTAGGCCTCAGGTGGAACTCGGCCGCGGCCGCGGGGCTGAAGGACCTGGGAAGGAGACAACCTCTTCTCCATCGGTCTTGAGATTGTTTGGAGATATACCCTAGGATTCCAACCACCATTTCATAGTCTCTGCCGAACAGCAATGGTATCACAAAGGATTTTGGACTACAAAAGCAGCTCAACAATTTTAGACAGTCAAACGGAATAGCCTATAGATGAATATAGGGTATAGTGACCTGACATGGATGTGATGTGATGTGCCTCCTAGCGTTGAAGTGGAACGACCGGAGTTCCTGGCGTGCCGGAGGCGGTTCTTCCCTCCCAACGCGCCACGCGCCTCCGCTGAGGCGGAACCCATCATGGCGCATCCACTGAGGCATCGCGCAGGGGGAGAAAGACGGAGTTCGCGTTGGCTGGGAGTTTCTTACGCGACCTCGGGAGAACCGTTCGTGTATAGCCATGACTCATGCTTGGTGTTGAACAAAAACGACTTCACTCCCCCAGGTGAGGTAAACCATCGTGAGTCAAGTGAGTGCCACGGTGACACACCGGCGCAGTGAGTGCGCACAAAGGCAGTGCATCCGACCGACACTCCTTCGTCCGACCGAACACGTTGGGCCGTCCCACCTGAGGCGAATTTGACCATAGCCCAGACTGATGGACCTGGCGTTGTCGGTCAAAACATCCAGAAGGGCGAACGGTGAAGAACCTCGGGTTTTCTCGCCAACTCAAGCTGCTTGGACAGGGCAGTCTGATGGGCCAACCCAAGGGGCAGTCGACGTTGAACTTGTGACCTGCCTCGGAACGTTCGTCGATTGGCCGTGGAATTGTTGGAAGCGCTTCCCCTCGAAGTCCAGTTTCCGATCATCTAGTCAGAGCAGTTTAAACATGTGGAGGCTATCGCTAGCTAGGTTGGAGGCCATCGCCACTAGGGTGGAGGCCTCGCTATTTTTCAATGGAAAGATGACTTGAGCACAAAGAGAACAGAGGTGGAGCAGAAGAACAACCCCCCCTAAACCACCGACGACGAGTTGGGCGGGCTAAACCGCCTCCAGACCCATGGGGGTAGGGTATTGCAAAGCCATGATCACGGACCTGACCCTGCGAGGTGTTCCCTAACGACTTTTTGATGCGAATGCTGCATATTTGGTTCATCCTCCTTTTCAGGACGTACTATGTGGTCTAAGAAGCTGCTGACAAAGGTCACCAGACGCCCAACGACCCAAATCAGGTCTCTAAACGCCCACACCCCTTTCGTAGCAAGCGCCGGCGCCTGTACCGGTACAAGGACGGCCCGTCCAACCCCACCTCGGACTCACGGCAGGTGATCAGACGGGCAAGGCGAATTTGAACACTCTTTGCGAGCCCATGAGAGGTGCTTAGTAGAGTCTGAGCATGTCTCAGAGTTCCCAAGGGACCTCCGTTTTGTGGCTGCCCCCCCTTTCTGCCCCCACCGATCTTCTTTCACTCGTTTTCTTTCCAATAAAACTGTGTTGCGAACGAACACCATCGGTGGCAGGACTATGAGGCAAGGTGTGTGACTGTATGAGCTCGACCGAGCCATTAGAGAGATGTGAGGCATCGAGGGCGGGGGCAGGAGTGTAATGGCGCTTCCACAGGTGAAGCATCCTTACCCGACGTTTCATCCATTTGAAGGGTGGAGATGCGAGTTCGCCCTTCGGTTCACCTGAACGAAGACGAAACGGAACCGCACCTAGAAGCTGGCTTGACTTTCAAAGCAAAGGTTTCTGGGCGATCCGAGGATCGATGTCGGGTAAAGAAAACTCCCCCTTGGACACGCGTCAGAACATGTTTTGTCACAACTCTTATTGCTAAGGATTCTTACAGGAACTCCAAGGCATGCCATGCGCACCCAGTTGTTTGGGACCCCAAAACGTCGTCCTCCCAGTTGTTTGGGCGCCTTGGAGACACCCGGAGGAACGTTTCAGATGTGTCGGTGATCGACAGGTTGATCGATGTTCGGGACAAGCAGCCCGGCTAGGAGCAACAAGCATCACCCCCGCCATTTTCACTGGCACCCGAGAGGATGAGCCAGCGGAATGTATGGCAAGATTGGTGAAGTTCATTTTGATTGGCACCTTTGAATCTGGGTCCAAGCAACACTGAGAAGAACAGAAGAAGACAGCGAAGAAGAACAAGAAGAATAATAATAAGCAGGAGGAAGAAGAAGGAGAAGAAGAAGGAGAAGAAGAAGGAGAAGAAGAAGGAGGAGAAGAAGAAGAAGGGAAGGGGAAGGGGGAGGTCATTTTTGTATCATGTTCTTATTTTCTATCATCATCCACAAGCAGGTTCAATAGGCAGGCCTTTTCAAACAAAGGATTGCCCACGTGCGGTCATTCAAGGATCACATTTGGGGTTCGGTGTGTACACATCACCGATTTCGTCACTCCCATAAAACTAGCAGTATACCACCACCCAGAAGTGGACCTGAGATATTTAGGGATGATGTATGTAACACCTAATAGCGATGGCCTCCAACCTAATGGCGCTCGTTGATTCAGAAGATCCTTTCTATCCCTTTGATCCTTTCGCTCCAAACCGCATCTCTGCTCCACTCTGGCAGAGCCGGGTTCTGCGTACAAACCGCAGAACATGCGTCTGCACTGCACTGGCGATTCGTCGGATTCAGGTCGCAAGGCCAGCCACCGGGCCCACTTGTTCATCCGCCAGGTACTTCCCAGGATTCCAACCACCTTTAGGTTTAATATGATTTAATGGCCTTTCCCCAAGCAACCATAGTTCTAAACATTACCCTGGAAACCCGGTCCCAGCCAGAAACACTTGGTTGTTCCAATATGACAATTGAAATCCTTTACATGGGCAAGTGGCTGGGAGTCGAGTTCCATCCAGAACTGTTTTCCAGGACTATAGACACCAAGTCTCTTCCCCTGCGTTTGGCTGCTCTGCAGAGGGTCTGCTGTCCCATCCCCCATCTCTGCTGCCTGCCGTCTTCTCCGTTCGCTCTATCTGCAAGCATTAGTTTTCGCATTCTGAAAGGTTATCCGGTTCTTTCGTTTTTCTCCCGTCGAGTCATTTAGACCTTTCATGACTAAACAGTACATCTTAAAACTGACAGATCGAACAATCACCAACTCGATCCACCCAAACTCCACACCTATATATTAATATAGAACGGACATCTGAAGAGCACGGCATGACATGGCTTGGAGTTCGGTGGCCTGGCTTGGAGCTGTTGCCCAGTTTGGCTTGCCTTAGGCAACCACTGGAGTGGGGGTGCGGGGGGGCGGCTTTCGGCAGCTTCGGAAGCAAAGGGTCGATCAATTCTAGCTGCAGCTCGGAGCAGCTTTTGGCAGGCATTTGGCCATTTGCGAAGGGATGTTTCTTTGGAGAAATCAAGGAATGGGCATGTTTTTAGCGACGCTTGGAAGCCTGCTCTCGCGCCCCTGGCTAGTTCAGCCCTGGTCGCAGTTTACCCTGCGGCCCGGGGACACTGTGAGATGTGACAGGGGGTGTGGCAGAATGATCCAACTCTCAGGTTTTGTTTTACCAGAAGCTACGAACTGTAGCCTGTAGCCTTAAGGGCATCGCTACGAACGGCGCTACGAACTAGTATCTCATGGCCTTACTATACGTTACTAGTAACAAGTGACTGCAGGCGCTTTTTTCAACCAGATCCCGCTAGTTCTTGCTCAGAGCACACGCGGTTCCCAGTGGCGCGGCGCGTTTTCGGCTTCACTCCTCTCTCAGTGCGAGGCCATGGGGTTTCAGAAGTCGAGCCATCGGACGTGGCGTGGGCACTAACCAGGAGTCACAAGGAGTTGGGTGGTGTGGCTCGTCCCATCGGCCGTGGGGGATGTTCGGGGCACCCCGGGCACCTACCTCCGGAACCGGAACCGGCACCCCTATCCTACCTCCGTGACTCCTGGAGGGTGCCATCCATGTTCGGAGTCCCATTCGGCTATTTCCACTGGCTGGTCCGAGAGAACCCACGATGATCGACATCTGAAATCGAACGGGTGGTACTTGTAGTCGAACGGGACTTCCGACGTTTTGGACATGTTCGAACGACGAAGTCTATTTTCGCTCGTCCTAAGGCGTTACTTCCGGGAAGTCTGGGACATGACCCTAAAACGGCTGCCCTATTGATGTTTTGTCGGCTTGCTCTGCAGCATGAACCTTGAAACCAGCTAGCTTTGGCAAAAGAAGACCAAGTACAACCTGTGACCCCGGTGTTCTCTTCACACCTCCCTGTCTGAAAAAGCGTTTAGGGCAAGGCTTCGATCTGCTGGCGAACTCGCGAACGCGCGTCCTTCGTCCCCAACGGGGAAGAAAGAGCCGCCGGGGAGCCGCCGTCATCGGGGCGGCGTGAAAGTGAAGCGGACTGGACACGGAGGACGCGAAGGACGGACGCAGAAGTGGATGTTTCTTCGCTGCGAAACAGCTTGAAGATGGGTCATGATGTGAGCCCTAAGAATCCAAACGGGCTCTCCATGGCAGGGGTTGGGCCCGACACCGAAACGCAGGGGGTCCGGGCCCGGTTCCCAAACCCTATCTGCTGTTAGGGGCTCCGGATTCTGCTTGGAGGAAAGACATTTGGGGAAAGAAGTGGGACATATCTTGGCTGGGAGGGCGCAAGCTGGCGCAAGTTGGGATTCATTGGGTTCCACACCTCCAGCTTCCGAGTTTGGTTCCAACGGCCAGAAGAAGGGGAATCGGCTCCACGAGGGGAGGAGCTGGGTGGTGCGGCTTGCTCGAACCCACCAACGCCCTTCCTTCAGGGCGCGGGGCTCGAACTTCGGATGGTCTGTGTGGTTCCAGTTGCAAGCGGCAAGCGGAAGCCATAGGCAGCTAGGCGCTGAGAGGCATTTCGGAAGCTTCCGGGTGGCAGAACTGAAACTCATCGTTTTCATCAAGATCGTCCTGTTCTTCAACCTCCAAGGGCATTTCATCCAGACCGTGATTTGGAGGTTTCCTTGCAAAACGGCACCCCTCGCTCCTCTCGCAGAACTCCTAGGGCGTCTAAACCAAGTCATTTGGACTATCAACTCATAACTAGCGACCCCAAACATGCAGAACGACAGGCGGCCAAGAACAGCCACAGGCACTTACCAAGCACTCTCCGTCTTTTTTCGGGCCAAGGAGTTTCGAGGTTTCGAGGTTGGCGTTTCATCGACGCCATCACCAAAGCCTCTGGACCTGCAGAGGTTCGACTTCATGGCCGCTTTCCCACTGACTCTCACCGAGCCGCGAGGCTCGTCGGCTCGGAGAAGGGCGGAGAGGGGGGGGGGCAGCCGGGGGGCGCCAGGCGCATGGCGCCAGGCGCATGGCGGAGGTGCAAGGTGAGGCTTTTGGGCAGGAGAGGTCTCAGAGAATCGCGGATTCATGCCGGGAAGGTGAGGCCTTGGGTTTGATCCACAGGAAAGTACGACATCGAACTCATCAAGGAGAACGGAACCTTCAAGATTGCATGTCGGAAGGAAGGAAGGAAGGAAGCAAGGAAGGAAGGAAGCAAGCAAGGAAGTAAGGAAGGAAGGAAGGAGAGGCGGGTGGCCTATACAACAGCCGATTGCTCCTGGAGTTCTTTCCGTTTGCGCCTTTGTTGGGAAAGTTCTATGAGATCATCCCGGTCAACCCACACAAACTTGCGGACACGTCCACGTCACGCCCCGACACAGCCCTTCCACGAAGTGTGGGGTACTCTAGGGTTGGTATGCTACAAAAGACATCAAAAGACCAATGGCATGTACACATGAAAACCACATGTACAGACATGACCGGTGTAAGACACAGTCACAGTCAACATGTAATGCTGGGAGGCCAGCATGACAAGTGAAAAACGAATTCAATTACTCCAAGAGAGCGTGTGCAAGTCTTGTTTTAGGCGAATGCATTTTTTTAAAACTCTTATGCTGTTGAGAGAAGGATAGCTCGGTGACGGTGGTTTCGATTTCAGAGAGAATTGGGCAATCAAGCTTCGGCTTAAAAGGGTGCACGAACATTAGAGGGATAAACTTGCCGTGGAGATGAAGCATATTCTGAGAGAAGCGAAAGGGCATGCTCAGTTTGCCGTAATGTTGGGCGAGAAGCAACACGCCCCACCAAACTGCGATGATCGCCGATCAACGAATCATGGAGCTTGCCCCTGTTTTCTGGTAGCGAGCCAACAGAGGTTAAGTGACCGTAAATAGGACACTACAGGGGTACCGAACTGGGACAGCCTATAGAGTCTTTCAACCTCTGTTGGAGGGTAGCTCGACGATGGTTGTTTTCCAGATGTCGGAGCATCCGTTGACCAAGTCACCCTCGATGACCAAAGACGGCCCGGTCCACCCACCGGTCGGTCACGCTCCGTGTTCAACAGCCCGAGGTCCCAGTCTCCCAGTCTCCCAGAGATGGGTTCTCGAACTCCCAGACTTGTCCAGAGGATTCGGGTCCAAAAGGCATCGGGGCAAGAAGAACTTCTTGGCTTTCGGCGCTCAGTGCGGCAAAAGTGGATGTTTCCGTAGAGGACCCAACGGACCCAACCCATCCTATATGGTGACATGTCCGAACAATTCCGAACATGATCATGATGTCCGACGCGACAGACCGAACATGAATCTCCCATGTTTTGGCTGTGTGTGCTGAATCTATCCGCCATGTTTTCAGGACATTTTAGATCATTTTGGCCTCCAAACTGTTGGAGTCTTGGACATTCTGCAGTCTTTGGTCAATTGGATTGCCATTGGACTCCCGAAAAGTGTGCAGGACTTCTCCGGAAGTCTTTCCAATCCTTGCGGTGTTTGATGTGGTATCCCATCGTTGGACATATCCAACAGCTTGCCGGAATTTCTTCTTCACTTCTTGGCTGGTGTCACAGCTGCTGTTCTCAGGGCCAGTCATGTGTGCGATCGAGGACATTCACCACCCCATCCACCGTGAAGGAGACATTGTTTGGGTGCAGCGTCCTCTCAGCGTCGCTCTGCAGCGTCCTGAGCAAAACCACGAGCGATGGATGAGTGCACCATATCTATCATCTTGCTCTGCGCGGTGTGGACGACGTAAGCTCATCATAGACCACTCAGACTCCTGGCCTTGAGTTCCGCGCAAGAGTGTGCAGGGCCCGTGCCTGCAGGTGGAGCACCTTTGGATGCAGGCCGGCGGGCAGGTGGAAACCAGTTAGGGCCAATGGAAGCTGGGGAATGGGAATGGTTCAGAAAAAAGAACTTTCACCCCAAGGCGGGTGCTTGGGGGCTCTAGTTGTTTGTGAGAACCTCCAAGCTAATCAAGACATATCAAGACAATTGGAGGAAGTTAAACATGTGTGAGCTTATGGAGGTGGATCAAGCAGCTGGAAACCATAAAATGCAAATCTCCATGGTGAGTCGCTGTTGCGGGTTTTGCGCGGTCTGTCATCCCTGGCCGCTCCAGTGGTAGAGAATCAATTGAATCAATTTGCCCAACAAGGGTGCCCCGAGTGAACATCCAAAGGGAACCTTTGTGCAATGGCAGAGCTGGTTGGAACTTTCTCGCAACAGTTTTGCGACCCGAGCACTTTCACTTTGCACCGTTTCTGCCGTTGAGACCGGAGTGTCCACAGTGGCTCTATGGTCATCTTGGGCCTCTCACGGGGGATCTGAGTCGATGGTGTTCACCTTTTCTGGCAGTTTTGCTCTGAATGTGGTCCGGTCGAGGGTCAAACACGCATGCCCCAAAGACTGAGATTGACCCGCAGCCCTAGAGAGCGAGTGTTGCATTCACCAGCTAAACAAACCGGTCAGTGCATGACCAAAGGGTGTGTTTTAGGTGTTGGGTTTGTTTTGGGATACACCCTGGAAAATTAACCTGGAACCTGAAGGCTTTGAATGTCTATGCTTCCCACCGCCCGCCTCCAGTTTGTCCCTCTCGTTGATTGGGGTTCTCTTCACATCAATCGCACCTGCTTCACAGGTGCTTTTGGTGCTTTGAACCGAAGCCGCGCCGACCCATGCTGCGGGGAGCCGCAGTTCAGCCGCGCCGTTCGGTGCAGCGCGTGGTGCCGGATCGGGGCTTCGGGCTCCGAAAGACGCCGCCTCGGGATCATGCGGTTTTCTCTGGGACGATTGGCCGGGAATGATGGATGCCTTGTAAATGGGATCCCTAGACTTCCAACCACTCTAAAATTAATAGGCTTTAGTAAAACAACCATTTTACCTATATACTAAGGATTTTACACTACCAGCAGTCACAAAGGAATGCTTTTTGGTTTTTATTTTTGAGATCTTCTAAGTGAGTGGATATTGGGCACCCCTTTGATGGTCATGGTTTGGAACATGAGAAAAGATATATATCTTAAACCGAGTTGGAGGCAAAGTAGTCGACCCCTCACCCAAACCCATCCACCCATTTTCTCATTCAGCGGCTCTTCGTGCTGACTCTGGAAGCCGCCAACAGGCAGGCTCACGTGCAAAATGCTAGTTGAGCCAGGTGTTCTGCAAATCTACTATAATCCAAAAATGGGTTATTTCCGACACGTTTTGACACGCACTGGGGGTATGCAAAAACCACCCGACACGCACCAAAGGGGTGCCTAATAGACACCCCTTTTGTTTAAGTGAGTGGTTCATGGGCACCCCCTTGAAACCACCGACACGCGAATGACACGCATTGACACGCGTTCCAGTGGTGGTTTCTTAAAAAACAAGGTCAAGCGGAAGATGCCTCTGCTGAGCAAGGGGAGGTTGGTGGAGACGTGTACCAGGGTTCATGCTAACAGGAGTGGTTCATCCCAGGACTTCCATCAGAAAAGAACTGAATTTGTGTCACCCCTACCACATGTCAGATGTTATCACCAGCAGTCACAAAGGGGTCTTAATTGAACACCCCCCCTAAGGAGCGCTTTATAGGCACCCCTTCGTGACTGCTGGTAGAAAAGTCTAGGGGGATGGTTCGCCTAATGCCAAAAAAACGTGTTCCACAGCATCCGCCCATCATGTTGCACGTGTTGGGCCATATGTGGTTTAAACATTCACAAGGCTCCAGCCAGCCTGCTTCGGGCCCGAGTTGTGGAGCCTGGAGAAACTCGTGCAGAATTTTTGAATGATAAGTCCGGAGGTCAGAGGAGGTTCAATATAGGGCTCGGCCTCAAAATCGTTTCAGGCCGAAGATTGTTGCGGCCAATACAGGACTGGCCTGTTGGACTAGAACGAATAACCTTTCTCAACGTTCAAAGCCAGGGTCAACCATTTATCTACCGGCCGGAGGGAAGGCTAGGGATGTTGAGTTGTTTTTGCACTGCTCAGTTTGAACATGCTTGAACTCCTCGCAAGGGCTCGAGGAGCCGCATTCGACCACTCGACCGAGCCGCGTTCGTTTCAGCGGATCTGGGCAGATCTTGGCAGATTGCGAAGGTGTTGTTTAAATACCGGGAGCTTCCAACGATGCCAAGAAATATCGGCCCAGGTCATAGTAGAGTGATCCCCCAAAATAGATTGAATCAGCAAGGGTTCCCACCATTTCTTTCAACATCTCTTGGAAGTGAAGTGAGCGGGCGATCGCAAAAAGTGATCACACAGTGTCCCAACGAATTTTTCCCTGGCAGAAAACACACACTTGCACCTTCAAGGGGTGTCCTGTCTGGAGATCCCTAAGTAGTGTTAGTCGGCTGACGCAAGTTGAAGGTGCTGGCAACTCACTGAGATTCTGGTCAAAGTGAGATTTGCCAAACTGCTCATCTTCATCAGAACCGGTCGCAAGCCGTTCGTCTGAAAGACACTGGATTCGGAGGGATGGCCTTGTTCCATCGTGGGTCACCAATCCCCACAGACATGCATGGTATATATGCCCTAGGCTTCCAACAATCATTAATTTGCTTTACCGAATCAACTAGGGATTTTACACTACAAAAACCAGGTCAACCATTGTTTTAATGGTCTTGGAAGTCTAGGGTATCCTCTTCAGGTTTGGGGGGTTGAAATACTTTCAAGAGTCTACATTACCGCGCGGTCGACCTCGCGCTCTTGGTGTTTCAACCAGCGAGGTCGTGCAAGGCGCAGCAGGAGAGGGGCCCGGCCCCTTTTGTTTTGTTTGCACGGAGACTCGTTTCGGTAGCCGGGTGGGTTTCAATTGCCTTTCAAGGGATATGGTGAGTCCCTGTTTTTGCTGAGTCCCTGTAGAACCACATCCCAGTGAGTGTTTGGGTCTTCTGAACGATGTGTCTGCTGTGTCTGTGGCGTGGCCGCGTTTCAGGTCTTTGGGGACCCATCAGTTGCCCCTGAAAGCAAATCGACCTTCGGGAAAAGCACATGAGCTCCAAAGCATGGAGGCCATCGAACAGCTTGGAGGCCATCGAACACAACCCGTTGAGGATTCGGGTCGCAGCCGCGAGTTGAAAGGGATTCGAGTTATGCCACCGGTTCGACTTCAGACCAAACCATGAACGGCCAGGGGTTTAGACAAGTTTCCATTCATTTTCTCCCAAACAAATCCATGACCAGCAGTCACGGAGAAGGTTGGGGTGCTCTCCATGGAGGAGGTCGGGGTGCCCCTGTCACAATAACCCACTCACTTGGGGGGGACGCTGTTCGCCACTCCGACATGTGACGCCTGGGAGGTCAGTGTTCTTCACGAATCTGCACGTTCGAACTTCCAGCTACTAGGAACAAGTGCCACGCTAGTAGTAACAAGTGCCTTACTAGTAGTAACAAAGAAGCTATTAGAAACAAGTGCCTTACTACTAGTAACAATAAGAATTTAATTGGAATTGTAATTACTAGCAAAGGAATCTAGTGAGGGCGGGTCCTCCGAGTTCACGCCTCCGGAAGAAAACACCAGCGACGCGCCCGCGCCCCTGTGTCCGTCTCGCTGCTGCTCAGTGCTCAGTGCTCAGCGGTTTTATTCTGAGCCAAAGTTTGAGCCATGAAGTTTCTCTCTGTGTGCTTCAGGCGAGGGGTTTTGATGGGTTTTGCAGAGTGAACCTCGACGAGGTGAAGGTCAGGTCAGCTGAGTGAAAGGAGGGTCAGGGAAAAACCATATCTGACCATTTTTGGGGTAATGATGGTGGTGTGCTCATTCTACATTGATAAACTGGGTAATGTAGACTCTTGACTCATGAGACCCCGCAACCTCTTCAGGCTTGGTTTTAATCAATCACGATCCGACATTTCTTGGTGGAAGGAACCGGGTCCCAAGGCTCCGGAGCCTGGGTCGCTAGCCTGTGTGCGGCCTCCGATGACACCACACGGGGCTCCTTCCAGCGGTCGGCTCCTCGCATCGTCTGAGGCGATATCCAACCGGGTGCGGCTCATACCTGCCCATTCGAAGTCCATTCGATACCGGTCCATTAGTGAAGGATTCCGGAAGTTCCCTCTCAGGTCCTGACTGGAGCATTCTTGTTGTGACTGGAGGACTAGGGCCTGGATCCGCCAACTGACACTGCAAAAGATCAGCCCTTTCATCCAGAAGGCAGACATTGTGCACCGTTGGAAGATCCAGACATGACAATGTACCAGGACACAAACTCACTCAATGACTATCCAGGTTCCATCTCAATCAGCGCCTGAAGCGAAGAACACATGTCCCAGAGGAGAGAGTTTCGACCAAACACGGGCGACTCCAGAGTGACTCCAGGTCTCATTTTTCAGAACAGAGTCTGACGCGTGTGGGGTTGTTGAAAACAACGCCCTAGAGGCTCTAAATCATCTGGGATCCAGAGATTTCATGAGATTTCAAGTTCAGGTCTCCCCAGTCTGGTCCAGATCCTCCCATCTGAAAGACCCCAGGTTGTGATCCGAACCCTCGTTCTCCGTCCCGTCGTCCCAGATCCTTGGCATCCTTCAGCCTGCTGGTGGAGGCCGGGGGGGGAAAAGAAGGCGTCCAATTCGACCGTCGACGACCATCATCCCACTGATTGAAGTCTCCACACCCAGACGAGGAGTCTTTTACTAGATCTACGACCAGCACCCCAAACTTGCCAGGTATGGATTTCAGCCACCCAAACTCGGAGACCCTTTTCGAGTCGGGTGCTGGAAAAGGGGGATGCTTCGACCTGAACATAAAGGAGTCCTTTAAAAAGACGTTGCCCCCAACTCCGGTCCCTCCAATCCCTCCGAGCGAACTTGAGTGGACTGGACTGTGAGCAGCCGTGGGTCAACTTCGTGGAAGATGGGCCTGCGCCGGGAAGTAACAGTGCCATTGCTGCCCTGTTGAATGAACCTGATAAGCAGTCCAAGGGGTCTTGGGTCCAGAAGTTTCGTTCTTGGAAACTTGATTCCATTGAGGCCACCAAAAGCCGTGTTGTGCCCGAGTGCTGCACCGTCGCCGGAACCATGAGAGTTTGAAACATGAACCGTGAGTTTCATTGTACGGATGCTATCTGAGAAGGGAAGCTTCATAACATACAGCCGCTACTTCATACACTAGTGAACTATTAGTTTGAATTTTCTCGGGCAGGTGGGTTGATTTCTACTGCACGAGACTTGAACCCAAAGTTAACGCTTTGTCCGCCTTAGTTCTCTTTGGTAATTGGTAACCAAAGAGGTGCCCCAAGCAGCGCGCTCAAAGCACACCTTGAAACAGAATCAAGTAAGATGTAGATTTTTTGATATTTTTGTGCACTTCGACTCAAAACTCAATATAACTGCATCAAAAATCTTTGTAATTCCAGAATCGGTTCTCTACTGGAGGCACTTGCAAAGGAATGCTCCACATCGATGAGGGGTTGGGCTACGAAATGCGGCTGCGACTAAGCTGCGTGAAGGGAAGGTGGCCACGCGGATGCCTTGGCCTCATCTTGTTTTGGTGGTTAGAGCACTTTCCTTGCTCATTTGTTTCTTTGCAGCTCTTTTGAGTGTTGGTGATGTCGTGACAACCCTGTCATTGGTCTCCACATTGTGGATGTGACAGCCAAACCTTTGAAGGCGCGGGCATTGCTTTCGGGCTGCTGACAATCCCGCCGTCAGGAGGCCGTGCTGAGCACCCAGTTGCTTTCTGTCCTCCAGACTGCAGTGGCAAGGCAACAAGCGCGGGCTGCTGGAGCGGATCGTCGACTCCTGTGTCCGCAAGACCTTGGCTGGAGCAACGTGGTCCTCAGCCGTTAGAAGTTGTATCAAACTGTTGGATGATGATTGAAACCTTCAAAAACATTGCCTATACTGTAATCGCTGCTTTGATTCTTGTCCCCGAACAGTGTGGACACACTAGGGGTTCTTACGGCAATGGTTAAGCGCCGGTGTCTAATCAGAGGTGTCGCGCGGTCGTGCGCGGCTAGCTCGTTGCTATTTACATTACACTCATACACGAGATCCTCGAAGCGCATTTCGACTGCGCACGTCGCGACTGCGCTCTCGTTGTGGCGTCGCGCGCATTTTCGGACATGGTGGTCACTTTTCGTGGCAGGCGTAAGGTGACACGGCACGTTGGTTTGCTGGGGCATTCATTGTCCCATATTGCCACAGCGTTGGCTCACAGGAAGGATTTTACCAGTCTCAACCCTTTGTCTCTTCTTTCGGGCCGGCCCCCTGCGATGTCTAAACAGAGCACCGAAATGGATTGCTTTAGCCTCAGTCTTTGGCCTCAGTGGCGTATAGTTGCCAGCTGCTTCCCTACATCATGGGCGAGACCAATTCACATAAAACTCAGGCCCTTGCCGCAAGCTTGAGGATGAGCGCCTGGAGGCCGGACGGTCAGCCAGCCAGTCCTCGGTCAGTCCTCGGACAGTTCCAATCCCGGCGCTTGTCCTGCGAGGCTCCGCCCAGTCTGCCGCCCTTACTTTGCGTCACCCCCGGCTGTCCGCCCGACCCTCAGCAATTCATCGCGCTAGACAGCTTCAATGTGCACGTGTGTATGCAAGGGGCTGGCTTGACATGCTTTTCCAGGCCGGCGGCGCTTGTTGTGACACAGGTACTTGGCACACCGAAATCGAACGAAGTACCGGGGCTTCTGCTGCTGGCGCTGTTTTGAGAAGTGTCGGGGGCTTGGAAGTCTTTACGACGCATTTGCTGGCGGACTCTGCTTCTTTTCCTGCTGCGGGAGGCCCTTGGCAACGGGAAGAAATGGCACGGCCAGAAATGCGCACAAGAAGCTGGCAGCGCTTGCATGTTCACTTCAAGATGATGGCTCTTGCAGCTTTGGCTTGAAGCAGAAATCGTTTCTCCACAAGATCTCGGCTCCTCAGCAAGGCACAGCACCCCCATGGATTCGCGCCAAAGTTCCGACCTCGGTCGCTCAGGGCACTGGGGGAAGCGAACGGCCATCTTTTTGGATTAGTAAGACAGGAACTTGGATCCCGTGCAGGTTACTATTGGGTGCTCGTCCATTCCGAGTTCGGGGCCCCGGTGTGGATCTGGGCCAGATACTGTGCCACGGTCGAGGAGGTTAAGGCCGGGGCAAACATGAAAGCACACCTCCCAGACTAGCACGTCGTCCGCATCTCCTTCTCCCAGGTGCTGTGGAGCAATAAGACTTGGATGGCCAGAACCGGCGACGTGTTCGCCGAGGTAGGCCGTTTGCGCGTGAGGAAGGCCGGGGCCGTGGAAGGGATGTTGTAGACCGTCGACCGGTGTCAGCTGGGGGGAACCCCGAACAACCCCATGAAGACGTCCATGCGCAGGAATGCGTCCTCCTTCCAATGCTCCTTGCAGAGCGGGTCGTCCAGATTAAGATCATCCACAACCGAAGCCTCGGACCGGGTTGGAACCAAAGTCGAGTGTAGCCACCGCTCCTCAACGGGGGAAAACAACTCCTGGATGAGTGACTGCCTGGTACTTTGAAGGAAAAGGGTGCAATGCATAGCAAAGCTGCAACCGTCTTGAATAAATGCATGCATCCGCATCATTTCAAGTTCGGGAAGTTGCAATGAAAGCCTTCTGGACCTGCATTGCTTGCCGCAGCTGTTGGCCCGAGTTTTGAAGGCGAGCTTTCACGGCTGTATGCGCATAGTGCTACAAAGCACCTTCAAACACCATCACGCAAACATGCGAACACACGTACACACAAGCAGACACTCAAGATGCCGCCGCTGAAGCAATCGACCTTTTACCGTAAGCGCAAATCCATAAGTTAAGCCACAACGCCACGGACCCTGACCGTGAGCAACCAATCGCTGGTGCAGAGGGGTCAGAGAAGCAGCAGCGCCTTGGTGGAGCTCTCGTATTGCCTCTGCCACAACCACAAATCTGTTGCTAAGAATCTCGACCTGTCTATCGCTGTGCGAGCCAGGTAGACGAGGACAACGACGGCTGGGAGCCAGAAGCAGGGCCGCGGCCGCGACTCTTTTGTGTCAATAACCTGGCGTCTGAAGTGTTGCCAAGAATGCCTTTGGCTGTTTTTTCTCACCCTTACAGGCGTCGGTTGCTGGCTGATTGTTGGCCATGATTTGGAACATCGCGGGTGATTCCACACCCTTGTGGTTTAAAGGCTGGAGCACAATGCATTGAATTTCTCCTCAGACTTAGAGCTCCCCAACGGAGGTCGCTTCGCCGGTTTCTCGCTCAGGTCCCGACGCCTACGCGCGCCTTCGCTCGGTGACCGACGCTTATTCGCGCCGCGTGCACCGCGGACTACTACTATCACGACCGCTACTACTACTACTACTACCACCGCCACTACTACTGCTACTATACCTACAACACCTACTATACCCACCTGTTATTACTACTACTACTACTACTACCACGACTACTACTACTACTACCACTACTACTACTACTACCACTACCACTACCACTACTACTACTACTACTACTACTACTACTACTACTACTACTACTAC